GTGTGTGTGTGTGTGTGTGTGTGTGTGTGTGTGTGTGTGTGTGTGTGCGCGCGTGTGCACGCGTGTGTGTGTGCGGAGTTGGCAAGCAAGCGGGAAACACGTGTTCCACCTATCATGCGGTGTTTCCTGTCAGGAAGCGGCTGCATTTCGACCAATCACAAGGTCAATATGGCCGAGACCCTGTGCTGCCGGTACGCCTATTAAACTCACCTATTAAAGCCGAGCTCACAGTGTGCTCCCGGAGAAGCGGGATTTATCTATCATGCTCTAATTGGTTGATTGTGGCTGTTCGTAGGTGAGATTGAGTCGTCCATCATGTCCCGACTGAGGGCCGCCGACGGGGGAGGAGCCGCAGCCAAGCGAGCGAAATTGCCCCTCATAAGGCGCGAGGGCTCTGGGTTTTTAAGGTGGCAGGCAGTGGTTTTTTATAGAGAGGTTAACGGATTCCGAGTTAATCTCTTCGGCTGAGGCAAATGGCTATCGACTGTCCTCAGGGACAAAGCTAGGGAGAGTAAAACAAAAAAATAACGCAACCAGTGCTGTTTTTTCCCCTCACATCTACACTTTTTTTTTTTGAATTTTGATGTGGCTTTGTCAATATTATTACTGTCCGCTCCCTCCGGCTACATTATTAACTTTTAACAATTGGAAAAGCCATCAGCTGCTCCGCCCACCCGACCCTCTTCACCTCTCGCGTCCGTCCCCCCTTTTTTTGAGTTTGCCGAGCCGGCAGCCGTCGCCTCCCGATGCAAGCAAGGCCGTAAAACACGATCGCAAACCTGTGTCTGTTTTACTGCGGCAATTTAGCATGGCTCAAGGGCACGGCGGCAATATCTCTTTCCTCTGTTTGCCTGCTCGGCAGAGGCCGTCGGCGGGCTGCAGTTTGGGGTGGGGGGGACCATTTGAATGATCGCTCTATTTGGGCACAGAAATGAATTGGGGCAGATGTGACTGACTGGTGCCGGAGACTTTGTCTGCATTTTCTTTTTCTCCGATGGCCTCTGTCTGCGCGACTGACCGGCACAAATGCCTTTAGCTTGCTGATCTGTTCACCCCCCCAAAAAAGAAGACCTCAGTTAGTTTGGTTTTGTCTGCTGATGAAATATTACACAATACCACAGAGTTCTTTCAGCTCAGCTTTGTGCCACAGTGACTCACTCTTGACACGATCAATAGCTGCTATTCAGGTGATACAAAGCAAACGTTTGGGAAGCTCAGGCAGCTTTCTAACTTTCATGTAACGCCCGCAGTCTCTCTCTCTCATAATAACAGCTTTCCACCCGCTCTAATGCACCGACTGGGTTTTGAATAGTACAATGAAAGTGTCGAAATGGGGGTTATTGGAACATTAGCTGCGTTGATATTCGTTCACATTTATGACTGTCTTGGTGTTCGTGTGTGAAAACTCAATTTGCAGTGTGAAATGTGTTTTGTTTTTTTGTAGGTGTGATTACATGGCCCATTGATCAAATCCTTAATATTGCTGCTCCTTTATCAACACGCATAGCTCCGATTGTCACGAGTCCTTTGAGATCAGACTGAAATGTTATTTGTTCAAAGGTAGCTTTTTTGTGTTCCTTTTAACGAGCTGAATTGAAAAGGAGGCCTCGAGAACGAACGGGGAGGCTGGCCCGGAAGAATCCGGAGACCCTGCTGTAATTAAAATGACACGAGTTTGATCCCGGCAACAGACAGCGTTGTCCCTTTTTCTTTCTTTGTGGCTGTCGGAGCAACACGGGTCGTCATCCGCAGCTTGTCGGCATCGGTTTGATTTGTGACGCGGTTAATGAATCCCGTGGATGTCTTGTGCGTCCTCTTATGTGCGTCCCTCTGTGATTCAGCACGATATGCAGCATTTGGTACTTTTAATAAAGCTTCTAGATGAAAATCAAGCAAAAAAAGATGCCATTGGTTGCATTATGAAACTTGTAGATCCAGTGTTTTGGAGAATAAAAGTCAGGATATTTCGGCCTCTACTGCTTTGATTTCGTCCATTCAGTTGTTATGCGTCTCTTGCAAGTCCCCCAGACTTAGTTAAACCAGGACTAGTTTATTTATGTAGTCCAAAATCACAAGTTTGTCTCAAACAGGATCCTGAGCCTGTGGTTTCTTTCCTCCATCTCAATGTTTCTAAAAACAAAGGACATGATTATTGACTTCAAGAAGTCACCAACAAGCCCACTGCCAGCTGTTGTTGAAGGTGTCGACATTGATCGAGTGGGTAGCTACAAATATTTTGGTTTTGTTCTTTGTGACAAACTGTGCTTTGAATCCCATGTTGATGCTTCCTTTAAAAAACTTCAGCCAAGATTTCTCTTGGCTCATTCGAGACGATGACTCTCTTTCACAGATGTGTCATTGAATCTGTTTTAGACTTTTGTATAGTTGCTTAGTTTGGTATTCAACATCTGTCCAACAAGAATATACTTGGAGGTCTTTTTTAAAATGACCAGTAAGATGTCAGGCTATGCTCCTGGACGTTTCTAACAGGCAGGTCCTTAGAAGGCCTCATGCTGTATTGGACTGCCAGGACCTTTTGCCCCCAGGACGTCATTTCAGGGACCCGGTTTGGTCTCATCCTTCCCAAGTGCTGTTAACATGCTCAATAGCATATAGCACTCTTTGCACTTCACTTGCACATGTGCACTATTGCATGTGCGTACTTGTTACACATGTTCATTTCCTTCCTCTAGCTTTGTCTTTTGTTGTGCTGACATGTCATTGATTCTGTCTTTTTATATTCTGTTCTCATGTGAACCCTGGTTCATGTGAGCCACAGTGGGACAATAAAGATTACCTAACTAAAATGTTACAACACAAGTCCAACTCTACCCTTAGATCCTTGGTTCAGGAAAGCAAAATCAAAGAAAATCTTGTCACAGGAAAAAAAAGGAGAAACTTCAGCAACAGAAGCTGTATTTCTTTTAAAGGACGGACAAGAATAGGCCTCAAGTAGCAGCAGTAGAATTACAAAGGAACCAAGACGGTTGTGTGAGTTTTTATATTTTTATTTTAGCAAACATAGAATCATTCTCAGTCAACACGTTCATCTGGAAGGAAAAAACAGCATTTTAATTTGGAAAAACAGCTGGAAGCGGCCTTGATAGGGAGTGTATGTGTAGTCTAATGTATGTGTATTCTAGTGTATGTGTAGTCTAGTGTGTGTGTAGTCTAATGTGTGTGCATTCTAATATATGTGTAGTCTAATGTGTGTGTAGTCTAATGTATGTGTATTCTAGTGTATGTGTAGTCTAGTGTATGTGTATTCTAGTGTGTGTGTATTCTAGTGTGTGTGTAGTCTAATGTATGTGTATTCTAGTGTATGTGTAGTCTAGTGTATGTGTAGTCTAGTGTATGTGTAGTCTAGTGTATGTGTATTCTAGTGTGTGTGTAGTCTAATGTGTGTGTAGTCTAGTGTGTGTGTAGTCTAATGTGTGTGTAGTCTAATGTGTGTGTAGTCTAATGTGTGCTCCTTGCTGTTCCCATGTGCAGATCATCCAGGACCGCGTGTTGGAGCAAGGCTCCAGGAGCAGCCTGATGTGGAACAGTCACCCTGGGGGGCTCTTTGCCCTGCCGCAGTACTCTGGATACCTGGGAGACTTCCCCTTCTACTATGCTACACTGGGTCAGTAACACAGACACACACATAAAACACAGGAGCAAAGTGGTGTTACGTAACGCTTCCACACACCTGTGTGGCAATGAACTGATCTGTAACTGTTGGTGGGAAAAGTCCAAGTCCGAAAGACTTTAAGTAGATTTTGGTCAAGCTGTGGATTTGGTGTGAAATATGGCACCCCCTGATCTACTGCCCTCCTCCAGCGCGTGGCAGCCGGCGGAGTGGAGGAACAGGCCTTTGATGGATGTTTGTATTAGTCGTGCTGACACACCAGCCCGTCCATCATTGGGTTTTGAGTCAGCACTGCTACTGCTGCTGTGGCGAGACCAATTCCTCCCGCTACGATTCAGCAGCACGGCGTTTTCCCCAGCATCCCCCCCCCCCCGCCACTTATCTGTGACCCGGGAGCCTCTCCATCCCTCACTCATTCACTCCATCATCATCCAGCGCCGCCGCAACACACACACACGCACAAAGGGCCGTCGCACGAACGCACAAAATCCGGTTGATGGAGCACCCGGAGTGGAGGGCTCATATCAAAATGGATGGGCTCGGTGACAGGCGTGGATTACAGCGCCGGCAAGTTTATTTGTTTGTCAAAGAGGAAGCAATTAAACACAGATGGGCTTTTAGGAGACAAGCTGGCTTGGCGCTGATGGGTAATTGAGTAAAATCAAAGCTGCGGAGTTTGTTTCCAACCGACACGTCTTCTTGTTCTCTAAGAGCCGAGAACAAGACACTCAAACTCATCAGGCATGTGAACACTCGGGCACGCAAAGCGTGAGCAGGGTTTTTTGTGCTGCTTCGGGCTAAATGGACAAAGTGTATACTCGAGAATAATACAAATCACGTAGCAGTATATATTTGACGGCTCATTTTGTTACATTAATAACATCCTGTGATAAAAGCTAAGTGAAGATACCACACAGTGAACAATACGACTTTAGAATGAATGTGTGTAAATATGTCATATATGTAAATAACAATACAGTGGAAACCTCTTTTAATGATCATGTCTGTCCAGGTCAAATTGATCAGTATAAGCGGATGATTATTATACTAATATAAAGACATTTGTTGTCTTTATTTCTCAGCTTTGCTGATTACTGAATGTTATTGACTGTTTCAAAACGCAGCAGCTGTTTCAAACGTGCCCTGAGGAACACCCGGGTTTCGCTGCTGCATCTCGTTGGCTCGTTTTTGGCAGCTTGTCATACGCTTTAAGGAGACAACTTTCTTTTCCGCGCACTGATTTCAGTGTGCACGCGGCACCAGCCTCAGCTAGCCAGCCTCAGCTAAGTACAAGTAGCTTGTGATGATGGTAAAGGATCATCCTAAGTGGTCAAATAGGTTGGAAACCACTGATCTAAAATGTCAGGTGTGTTTTAGCGTTAAGATTTTCCTTATTTGGAACTAAACCATGGACAACAACACACACTAGAATTACAAAAACGTATGTAAAACAGGCATGTCAACATACTTCTGGCCAGTGCGAGTATTAAATGGCCTCCTGAATCAATCCCAAACTATATTTTTGTGTTGCTTCGAATGCTTCACATGTGAGATGTGTAATGTGCTGATGCAGGATGTGATAAAAAGCCTCTGAGAATCCTGTGCCGAGGACAGAAAACAGCACGCACATCCAAAATTTAAAATAAGCTGCACGACGGTAATTCGGCTCCAGGTTTTGTTCAATGTTTTATGGAAGTCTGTTTATGAGCTTGTTACAAATTCACATCTCAGGGGTTTGAAAAACCTGCGCACTCATAACTTTTCCCATCACGAGTCACAGGGACAGTTTACCGAGTTTTAAGACAGCGTATATTCCTCATCATGAAAAAGTTGCTCAGTGGGGGAAAGGAGACTAACGCCGTCTCCTCTGCGTCCCGCTTTGTTGGTTTGGGTTTGATTAGATTTAAATTAGGAAAAGTTGAACGTCCTCTATGATCCGTCTTGCTCAATATCTTACTTCCTGCTCATTTTCAGCCCTGATTACTCTCCTCGAACATCAAGTCAGGCTGAATTTAAAGCCACATCAGCACTTAGTCGTCTGCTCATTGGGCTTCAGACACAGCTGAAGAGTTTCCGGAATGTAATATTCAGCGATCAAGGAGATTTTGGCGTTTTTCAAAACACATTAACGTTGTTGAATATTTTAAGACTGGCTTGAAAACGCACATCCCTTACAATTATATCATCTACATTTGTGTGAACTGCTGACAGACTCTTTTTAAGTGAGATCTTTAACTAAAAATAGATACGTAGTGTTTGTAAATGAGAGCCTTCAGTTCTCCGTCGGATTTATTCTCTTCAAAGACCTTAAAATTACACCGATGGCTGACAGGCTGCTCGCCGTCTTCCGGCCAGGCGTTGTTTTCTGCTATTTTGTGAATCTGCATTAAAGAGTGACCGTCTTTCTGTTGTGTTTCAGGTGTCAAACCCTACCCCAAGTTCACAGCGGTCATCCATGCCGTCTCGCCTCTGGTGTCCCAGTCCCAGCCCATACTCAAGCTCCTGGTAGCCGTGGCCAAGTCCCAGTACTGTGCACAGGTAATGGACTTAATCGTGTGTGTGTGTGTGTGTGTGTGTGTGTGTGTGTGTGTGTGTGTGTTCACTGCAGAATCTTCCATTGATCTCCACCTCGTGACTCCCCAAATTGTGCACATTAAGGGGTTCGTATTTGCGATCGCATTTTCCAACCAGAGCAACAACGGCATTCATCTTCCATCCCTGTGTGTGTGTGTGTGTGTGTGTCTGTGTGTGTGTGTCTGTGTGCATGTGTGTGTGTTAACTCGGGTGGATTGAATTAGAGCAGCAATTTGTAGCAGTGCTACATCTGTCTCCATGGCAGCGAAACCCCCTTCAGCACAGCTGGAGACGGCCTGTATTGATTCCCCTGCTTGCTCCTCACCAGCACGGGAAATGAAATGGAATTTGCTCCCCGATGGCTGGTTTTTCGTGTGTGTGTGTGTCTGTGTGTGTCTGTGTCTTTGTTTGTTTGTTTGCCCAGCAGAGTGCATGAGTAAGCAGGTTTGTGTTCTGTGTAGGCGGTACGAGTTTCCGTGTGAGTGCCGTGCGTGAGTCGTCTGCGTTTGTGTGTTGCACAGGAGGGTGAGTTATGTGTTCGGGTGTGATTGTGTGACAGCGGCGTATACAATATGAATGTGTGTTTGCGTAGGCAGGCTGCTTGTACGTGTGTGTATTTGTGTAAATGCCGTCCGTGTGAGCGGCTACCAGGTCGACTCTCTTCAGTTCCCTGCGTGTACGGCTGGTTAATATTTGAAATGTTTTCAATTAGTGGCCCTGTGATAACAGGATGTTTTGCTCGTTAAATCTCTGGTGAATCCCAGAAGTCAGTGGGTGCTCACAAAATTAGAACAAATCTTATGAATAAGAGGAATTTGTTATCTTCCTGCATGAGGCCCATTGTGTTGCAAAACAAAAAAAACTTTCTCAAATGTTAAAAGTGGATGCTACACTTCCCATAATGTAATTCAGCAGAATATACTTGCTAGACCTTTCATTCCTGATAAATGTCTTTCAAAATCTACGCTTTTCTTTCGTAACTTTCTGACTTAAATTCTGGGTTATTTTCAGCGGATTTCTCAAGTGATAAAAGGAGACTGAATGTTACACTTCCCACAATGCAACTCAGTAGAATATTTTTGTCAAACCTTTCCTGCCTGATAAATGTGCACGTCTTTCAAATTCTACGTCTTTTTGTTCGTAACTTTCTGTCTTAAATTTGCACCCCCACCCCGATGACATCAGCGTGATGTCCTCAGGGTTATTTTCTCAGATCAGAAAAACTCCTCGAGCGCAAACTGTCATCCTAAGTAGTTCTCCTCATGACAATTAAACTGACTTGTAATTGATGGAGTGCCCCTTTAAATGTTGACCAAACACAAGCAGCCTTGCAAGAATGTTGCTTAAATAAAGTGGCGCGTATAATTAAACGAAATCATTGATCTCGGCAGTTTATTCTTGACGACAACTGATCAAAAGCTCCAGAGCAAGCGAATAAGGAGAGCTTGGGTGCAGATTGTTTTATTCATTGCTGTTTCAAGGTCAAGAATGAACTTTGCCATCCTTTCATGAAAACCGGAGCATCTGCTGAAGAACTACACGTCCAGTCATCAGCACGCTTTCAGCCAACCGTTCTCAGAGACCTTCTCTCACAGCGGCAGGTGGACTGAGCAACTGAGCAAACCCTGCCTTCTTCTTTATTTTTATGGTTGCCGCTTCTGTGTTTGCGCTCTTTCGGGCTGTGCACTCCTGAGTGGAGAACCGGGTACACAGTCGGGAGAACGGGGGGGGGGGGGTTCTCCACTCTCGGTGGACAGCAAAGAGGACTGGTTGCTGAGAGGAGAGGGATATAAATAAATGAATGGAGGGGAGAGAATGAAAGGACTCGGAGGGCGGAGGAGGCTAAATTGGATGCAAGAAAGCTTTTGACGCGCATTCTGGCACAGCGGGCCGGCCTCCTGCTGCGTGCACGTGCATTTTTCGAGGCCAGCGTTTCTTCCAACCGTGCGACAGAGACACACTCTTCACCGTTCTCCTCCAGTCACTCGCACACACACACATGCAGGCGCACATACGCGCCACCGGCACCCTGAGAGGGCTGGTGGGCTGACAGAGACACCATCTGTCTTTCTAATCAAGGAACAGAGCCCCTGTAAGAGCAGAATCACACGTTCTTCTGCTGTGGGTGGGTGGGTGGGTGGGTGGGTGTGTGTGTGGGTGGGTGTGCAGAGATCCAGACTGCATACCTGTTGTAATAGTACAATGACACTTTCTCTCTTTTTTTTGTATCTGTACTGGCTTGACATGACGAGCTCATTTGTGCCCATTCGTCAAACAGCTGGGTGTCATCTTTCTTTTTAGAAAGCAGCGTCGTATTTCCACACAGCTGCTGTGTAGACGCAAGGCGAACACCTCGACACAGACATCCAAATGGCTCCCAGCTCATAATTTGGCAGGTCCAGTCAGGGGTGCAGAGTCCCCAGGGGAGGGAGGCTGCTGGGCGTGACACGGTTAATGTCAGAATTATGTGAAGCTTTATTGATCCCTGCAGGGGACATTCTTGCGGTTCACCTCCGTCGGGGACGTCTGAGCACATTGTCGGCTACAGCTCTGCACGGTGGAACTGGGATGGATTAATTTACTGACTTGTTGAAGGACATTTCAGCAGGGCAGATGTTCGCTGACACACAGCAACTGAACTCTCCAGGATGGGAATGCCGATGATGAGTTCCTATCACATTCCTTATCGCGAATTGGGTATTCTCCGCAGGTTCAGGCAAACCAGTTCCTTGGGTTGTGTTGATATTAGCTGTGTTGTTATAATTTATCAACCTCAATTTCATGGATGGATTTACAGTAGCAGTATAGCTTGAAATAAACCACAGTAACTACACTCTTTTTGAGTGTTAAGTATGTTTTTCATGGAAATAAATAAGTCCGCTGAAAATCGCCAGAGTGCATACTTAAATTGCTCAAATTTGGAATGTGGTTTTGAGCAGCATGACCTTCCCACAAAGCTGTGTGCACAACAGAGATGGGGGAACTGGAAGTGAAAGCACACGGCAGATGGTGGTGCTCCAGCTCCAGGCAAAGCTCAGAAAACAGCAAACTAATAAATCTTTGGAAATACATTTTTCACCAGCTATTTGTAATGTTTTTTTTTTGAAGTTGAAAATGGGTTGGGGGGCGGTGTTGTGAAGTTTCCGTTTGATTTACAATCCATCTTCGTATTCTTTAGATAGATTCCTGTCGGTGTGAGCTGCACAGCGACTCTACAAACAGTAGACTGCCCACATTAATGTACACTTCAGTACATTAAGTATGCAAGTACTATATTACAGTCAACTGATTATGTATTATGCTGAACCACAGGTAATGTAATTGAAAATTGTTAAGGGAGAGTTCACACACTCCTTTATTGCCAGTTCTAGAACTACACACTAGTTTACATGAATAACAGAGGCGACATTCATCGTCATTTTTAGTCTTTCGATTCGGAAAATATACAAAAGTCTGAAGCTAAAGCTACATGTCCCGGGTAAAAAGTCAGCATCCTCACCGGGTAATGATCCATGTAAATAAATAGATAGATAGATAATTACTTTATTAATCCCGCAAGAGGACATTTTTTTCGCTACAGCAGCATTTATACTACTAAATAAATACTAAGTAAATAAATAGAGACGGAATTGTTCTTGCATTGCAGTGAAGAGCTAGTTAAACTAGTTGCATTAGGACAAACAATCAGTCTGTTATTTCTTTCTAACATAACCCTGTTTGTATTTTTAATTATGAGGAAAAGGGATTTTAGGATGAGGACTAACTTCCGGGTTAGACAAAGGTAACGCTATCTCATGTGCTAGGGCTGCTCAAGTGTAATCTTTAAAGAGCAGGATGGTGCTAATGAGCTGCTGATGTTAACCTATGATGACTAATGCAGTAAGCTAATGAAATGCTAACTCTTGGTCTTTTGAAGTAAAGCTCACTAGTGTAGGTAGGTTGTAAGCTAGTTAGCCACGCATGCTAACGATCTGCAGTATGTTGGAGCAGATCAACTGTTCACTCCATTCCTTAAACGTGTTTTTAGTATGTTTTTGAAAAGGCTCAAGCACACACCACCCTCCAAACACTTTAAATACCAAGAAGTGCTCTTTCTACAGCAAAGCCCCGTGTGCAATGCTTCAACATGTAGACAAATACAAAGCTCGACAGTGCCTGACGTTACAATTACTTAGCTGTGATTGGACAATCAGAGTTTGGGGGGGGAGGGGTTGAGCAAGCAGTCATTTTGTGTCGGCACAATTAAAGATGCATGAGAACAGGCTGAGACATAGTAAAGCAAAGTTGTGCGTGTAAAGTCAGGCTGGTGTCGTGTGTGATATGTGTGTTCCTCATCAACCATTTATGAGGTCCGCGCGTCAATGTCAGCTGACCTGCGTGTCCGAGTCACATCAAACACGGGTCCCTCATGTAAAAACATGATCTGGTTGGAGTCGGAGCGTGAAATCGGACAAGCTGGAAGATGTGTTCAGCGACATGTCACAGTTGGAAATGAATACTGACAATGTGACGTGACTGTACGGACGGTTCTGGAGCCATAATTGGAAACATTTTACTGCTTCAGTTGCCCTTCTGGCTCTTAAACCCTCAATCAGCCTGTGATAAGGTGACATTTGATGGCCGGTTAGGTCACGTAAATGTCACACGTTGAACAAGCTGAAGAGTTGTTTTGTTTCGAGGGAATCAAATGAGTTGTTTGCGAGTGCTGATATCTTGCTTCTGTGTTTTAGATCATCGTCCTGTGGAACTGTGACAAGCCTCTCCCGGCCAAGCACCGCTGGCCCGCCACCTCGGTGCCCGTCATCGTCATCGAGGGAGAGAACAAGGTGAGCCTGAGCACACTTCCTCCCAGTTTACCCCAAAGATTCGATCACTGTCACTTCTAATTACGCAGCTCATCTTATACACATTCTCTCACCGTAAAGCTACTGTATTTGTGCACATTTCACTAAGTGTCTGGGAGTTAATGAGTTTTGATTTGTGCTGCTCTGGTTCCATTAAATGGCAGTTTGTGTGGTTTCAGTTAAAGCTCATTAAAGGAATGACATGGTTTGGAGGAAAAATTAGCATGGGAAATGCATATGGTTAGGAAAGATAAAGAGGCAGTAATAGATAAGTGCATGTGTGTAGTTAGAGTGTGCGTTTTAATAAAAGTATTGCTGTTTATTCTTTACTTTAATCGTAACAAGATATCAAGAAAGTGACAAAATCTCTCTAGAGAAATAAGTTACAGCTGAGTTGCAATATCTATCTATAAAGCAATACAATCTCTGTGTCCATAGCCTTTGGACTACAGGAATAAAAATGTGAGCTGCCTTGGCTGAGTCGCTCCTCCCGGGCCTGTCTAGTTTGATGCTCTGGTTAGCATCATAGCTAGTTAGGCTAACATAAGCGTGTAGCCGCCATAGACTGCATATAAGAAGTGGACGTGGTCATCGTGACGTCACCCATTGGTTTTGTGGACTGCCGTTTTGAAGCCTCGAGTATCTTTAATTTACGTCCGTCGCCATGTTGTTGGTTTTTTGCAGCCAATGAATGAAGGTTACCATATTTGGAATTCGGAGCAGTAAGGTAGAAACTTTATTGTTTACTTAAAAATGTTCACAGGAAAAGAAAAGTTGAAAATATGACTCAGCATGTCAGTCTTGAGATATTTAGTTTTCCTCCCTCTGTTCCCTTGACTGACACTGTCATGCGAGACACGCGTGTTAAGTTAAGCCTCCAGCTGGAGCTCTGAGCCGTGAGCATGACTCGGTGACATTTATTATGACAACCTGATTAGGCTGAAGGCTCTGCCCTGTTCAAGGGCTTGCAGCGTTTCTCTTGACCTCCCTGTGACCTGCTTGTCAAAGTCAATGGGCAGATGTGGACACAGGGGGATTATTTTCCTCTAAATGCCGATGCGAGCGTGTTTTTTTCCCCATGTCCAAGCTCAGGTTTGATGTTTTATTTGTTTTTTTGAGGAAAAGTAAACAGGATCTGGTCGCTCATCTCTATTCCCAGACATCAGACTTATCCGATGCCGTCCTCGCCCCCCCTCCCGCTCGCGAGGACTTAACTTCACCTGCCAATCAGAGGAAGTGGTTTACACATCAGTGTCACCCGGCGGTAGGCTGAGTTTATGGTGTACCTCTCCCCGTGGCTCTGAGTGGTTTCTCCCAAGCTGTCAATCACAGCGGGAGGGCTCTGTGTGTAGCTGTGTGTCCGTGAAGAGCGAGCAGAACAGGCTTAGCGTACTGACGTGTGTGTGTGTGTGTGTGTGTGTGTGTGTGTGTGTGTGTGCGTGTGTGTCAGGAAGCCTGTGGTTTGTTGTGGTTGCGGCGGGTTCTGTGTTTACTGTGGCGAGCCAAGCTGTGTTCCTCCACCCCACAGAGGAAGTGAGAGAGAGAGAGGGAGTTTTTCATCCCTTTTGCCTTTTTTCTTGCCACTTTCACATTGCTTATCCCCTCTCTTTCATCCCCTTCCTCCCTCACAGACCCCCCCCCCCCCCTCTTCATAATTCTCTCTTCCTCTCATCTTCTTTTCGCATCTCTATAACTGCATCGTTGCTGCTCTCCTTTCTCCTCTTTATTTACTTTGTACACTCTCACCGGGACTGTGGCCAGAAATTTAGAAATGCGGAGGTCATACTGAGTTTAAATTCCCTCCAATGCACCCTTCCTTCCTAATCTTTAAAATGATTTAGATGTCCCATATTTTCTTTCTTCAGTCAATATTTCAACATTATTTTCTGTATATTTTATTTCCAAACATGAAGGCCTAAATCCTCATTCAAAGCCTCCACACTGCCAGGAATACAAAAAAGCTGCATCCTTGATTTATATATTTATTTATGTATTGTTGACCTAAAAGATTTTAAATGTGTACATACTGATATAGTAGACTACCAAAAACCCACCGTGTGTATAATTTGTATTCGCTGTGTAATTAAAACGTCCCTACAGGTTTTTAACACGCCCATATTCCCAGGGAGGAAATAGAGAGGACATGTCCTCAGCGTTAGCATTGACCCGGAGTGTCCTTCACTTCCATGCTTTATTTCTCTTTAATTCATATATCTTTCCGCCTCAGACATCGTTGGCCTGTTTGTGTCTTTCGCCTTAAAGGATAATGTGTCTGCTTGCCTCTTGCAGCAGGAAACATAACTTCTGGATGGGTGGTGTGCAAGAAAGATCCACTCCTGTAAAAAACAAAGAAAACAGTGAAGGGAAAGTTGGTTAAATAAGTTAAGTTGATTTAGTATCGCACCTTTCTTAGAACAAGATCACAAAGTGCTTCGCAAGAATGAAAAATATGAAAAATAAGATTATAAAACAGGTGGAGAAACAAACAATAAAACAAAAGCAACATCGGATCACAAACACTAGACGGCAATCTGTGCTTACTGTTTTATGAAATGACTAAGCCTTTTTTATAAAGAGTAACACACATGGTAGCATTGTTAGTTTTGGTTTTGTCTTGGGATTTGTTGACAGAAAAAAACCTGGAATAACACCAATCTTATCCTTTAACCACGTACCTTCCTCTCCTCCGTCTGTCCTCCTCTCTGTCTCTCCGACACGGCGGCCAGAAAGCAGCGCTCGATATAGTTCACGCAAACCGGTGGTCCTCCTCTCTCCTTCCTCCGTCTCCCTCCTCTGCTGCTGTGTCCTTTAGAGAGGAGGCGAAGTGCTGGAGGCAGATTCCGGCTGTAAGAGCTCACATTCCTGGAGAGCACCAGCAAGCCCCAGGCTAATATGTCGCACTTCTAACACTACAACCCATCAGGGGTTTGGAAACACCAGCCTTTCATCCTCTCTCTCTCCTTTTAAATTTTTTTTTTTTGTTGCCGTTTGTCTCGCTGTCACTTTCTCCCCTCCCGTGTTCTCTCTACACCTCTTCTTCGCTGGTGTTCTCCCTGACGCTGGAAAACAAGTGCCGAGATGGGGATTGTTTTGTTTCTCTCTGTATGCCCGCAGGACATTACAGCAGTAATGCTGACAATGGAAATGAGAGGGCGTTGCCGCCTCAGCTCTCTCCTCTCAATGCTCATTTTCTCTCTCTCTCCCGTTCTTCGTTCTGTAAATGCGACTGCCAATCACACACCTCGACTCCTCCACCCTGATCAAATATGAGTGTCACTCGAACTTTCCGCCGCTGCCGTTGCCTCTGGAGGGTTTTTCGGGGAGAGGGGGAGTAGATGGCACTTGATCGAGCCCCGACAGCACCGTCGAGGCTCAGCTGTGTGAGGTGGTGGGAGCAGGACATGGGGGCATGCACATGTAAAATCAAACTCTGGAAATCCATGTTTTCTACTTCATTTATTTTGCTGCAAAAACAGCGCACCTGCAGGTATGAAAAAACATGATGATCATTTAGTAATAAAGAGCCCCTATTATGCTTTTCCTCTTTTTCCCTTTCCTTTAGTGCATTGTATATATTTGTGTACATATAAAAGGTCCGTAGAGTTGTAAAGCTGAAGTCCATGCCCAGGGGGGGGTTACTCTTCTCACCGTGGCTACGACAATGTTTTTGGGCCGCTGGAGCTAAATTCTGTATATGGTAAGGGGTGGGACATTTCCGACGCATGCAAGACGTGGTTGACCAATCACAACAGAGCGGGGGCTCGCTGGACAATCAGGGCAGACAGCCAGGATGAGAAAAACAAGGTGTTTTTTGAGCATTATTGCATGTAAACATATTGTAACAGTAAATTGAGATAAAACAAATATGCACCCAAAGAAGAGCATAATAGGTCCCGTTTAAAAGTAATTGTAAAAGGAAAATCTTTGAGTTTTTGGACTATCGGTCATATTAAATAAGCAATCTGAAGACATCGCCTTGGGCATTTTTCAATACTTCATGACATTTTATACAGTAAAAGGTTGGTCGATAATAAAAGGAATCATTAGTTGCAGCACCAGAATGGATAACAGGCTTTACACGGCTCCAGAGGGAAGTTGTTCTCTCGGTGCTTGTTGCTGCCCTCGGCTGTAGGAGTGATGAAGACCTGTTGAGAGTGAGGTCACTCTGCTTGAGCGCGGCAGGCAGACAATGCCAGGTGTTGATCGAGAAAGGAGGTCAACGCTGACTATTGTTGAATAGAAATGTAAAGACTTTTTTTCAGTGCAGGTGTTTCATAAAGAACAAGTGCTCTTGCAAAGGCCCGACCTTAATGGCTGTGTTGAACAACTGAACAACAGGCTGTTAGTGTGTGCGTATTAAAATACCGTGTGTCTGGATGCGCGTCCAGGTTCCATTGAAGGGATGCATCGGGAGCCGCTTCTCCTTCGTGTGGGAGGTTGTTTGAGTTAGGGCGACTTCCTCGGCCAGAAGCTGCCATTTTCTCGTCCGAGCGCTTTTCATCACGGCAACAGACGGAGAGACTTCCCGCCTAAATATCCTCAAGATGTCGGTCTCTCCATCCACCCACCAGGCCCCGGCCACCATCGCTCTCTCTCTGCTTCCACTTAATATTCAAGGGCCGTTATGTATTACACAGTTTGCTTTCATTTGCTGTTAAATACACGCATTTGTTTTTTTGGGTGGTGGAGAGGAAAGGTACATTTGTGACAGACATATAGACACTTGACTCCTGCTGTATGTGTCTGTCTGCATTTATGCGTCGTTATTGATTTTAAAAGAGAGAGACGACCCTGCAGCAGTAATGGGACTTGTATCAGCACTCCATCACTTTTGAAAACAATGGGGGGGGGGCAGTAAAGCGTAGGATATTGGCTTCTCTCTCCTTCTCTCTGCACTGCTGTTTGTTGATGTGATGGCTTTTTGTCTCCCGTGAATTTGTAAGGAGTCATTAAAAATGTATACGTGAGACATTGAAGCGGAAAGTTTTTATTCTAAAATGTATCTCAAGGTGAAGCTCTACCGGTGGATCTAAAACGCGGGAGCGTCGGGTAGCAACTGAAAGAATTAGGTGTCGGGGTTCATCCTCAGAGTGGCTGTGAGCAATATTTTTATATTAAGTTTCATTTAATTATATTTAAGTATCTAACTATCAGCTATGGATCTCATGACTACTTTTATGTGAAAGGGGTCACGAGTGATTGATGAACAAGTAATTATCCCCAGACTCTGCACTTTATCTCATTTTAGCGTCTTTCAGCTCATTGTTTTGATTTTCTGGCCCACAATTTAACTGTTTTGATTCACTCTCACCGCTTTCTTATTGTGTGATTCTTAGCCACAATAGAGTGACTGTATGCTACATACTAGCACCAAACGACAGAAAGAGTTAGCTACAAGCCGGTGAACACGGTGGAGCATTAAGCGGTTAAAGATATTTCCCTCAGGAGTTGGTAGAACTAAAATTAAAGTGAATATTGGACTTACATTTGCCAGGTGGACGCAAACAGGGAATCCAAATAATTAATAAAGTTGTCTTCTCAATTTTGTAGGCGACTGTTTGCTAAGAAGTTTGCCATGTCTACGTTAAAAGGCGCTAATGTCAGTGTTGTGTTTACGGCATGTTTGGTTTGGTTTCGGGCGGCCGTGGTTCAGGTTTTCAGTCGGAAGTTCAACGGTCCGATCCCCAGCTCCTCCAGTAAGCATGTCAAAGTGTCCTTGGGCAAGATGAACCCCCAAAAAAACACGTCCAAAGGCTAATGTTGGCTCTTAGGATGCCTCCCTGTTGACTCTTCTTGGAGGTTTTCCGGGCACTTCCAAGTGGGATGAGACCCGGGAGAGACCCGGGACATGCTAGAGGGAATTACATACAGTATCCCATCTTGCCTGGGAACGTCTCCAGGCGCCCTACGGAGAAGCTGTCCTGAGCTACCTCGCTAGGTCTGCTGCCAACGCGACCTGAAACTGAATAAGTGGCAGAAAATAGACGGCCACACCTGGAACAAAACCCTCAAAACAAGCTACACATTTAGGATGAGATGGAGTTATGAATGTTTCCTTGGAAACATTCAGTGGAAGCTGTCATCTGTGTGAATAAACACGTCTGCACCGCATGAAAAATAAAATGTGACAACATGTAACAGGAAGGTTTATTTTCCTTCTTTCTTCCCTTTTTAGACATTTTGCACAACTTTGAGATCGACATTCGCTCCCTCAGCCTGTCTTTAATGTGTTTCAGGCGACCAAGTGATGACAAATGAACGCTGTGTGAAGCGGAGGGATCCAACGTTTTCATTTCAATGACGCGGCTTCAACCCTTTGTGATCTGTGTGTCCCCGTGCAGGTGATGAGCAGCCGTTTCTTGCCCTACGAGACCATCGTGACCGACGCTGTCCTCAGCCTGGATGAAGACACAGTGTTGTCCACCACAGAGGTATTTTGTAACATAATAACATTTCTCTCTCTCTCTCTCTCTTTCCATCTGCCTCTTCCTTGTCCCGACAGTCGGGTCCTCTTGAGACAAAACAAAGATCCAAACGCTTTCTATGTCCCAAAAGCAACTCTCTGTTTGCATTTTCTCTGAAAGAATTTTTTGTTATCTCTCTTTCTGTTTGTCCCCGGTGTTTTAAAGTTATCGCTCCACAGCTCGATTCTCAAATCACTTAAACTACTCTAACTTTTACTCCCGGCGCCGTACGTTTTTTGGCTTTTCTCGCCCGCCTCTCTCTCTCTCTCTCTCTCTCTCTCTCTCTCTCTCTCTCTCTCTCTCTCTCTCTCTCTCTCTCTCTCTCTCT